TCTCTCTCTCTCTCTCTCTCTCTCTCTCTCTCTCTCTCTCTCTCTCTCTCTCTCTCTCTATCTATCTCGCTTTTTCTCCGCGACAGGTCACGACGTTGCTAATATTTTGATACGAGCTTAGTTACGTTACAATGCGACCGACTCGTTCAGGACGAAAACAAACGACGCACAATCCGGCCTCGTTCCCCTCGTGCCCTCTCTCGAGCAACTGCGTTTATTTTTCTTGAAAACGTATCAGCCGCATTTCCTTCCTCATTGTCTGGCTTAAAGAAATAAATCCGCCGTCTCGTTTCCTCTCCGACGAAGCTTGCCCTCTCCTACACCTTTCCCGGGATCGCCGGGACAGCGTGCACGCGTTGTGTTCCTCGCGCGTTTCCAATTTGTCGGAATGTGCAGTTTGCAAAGACACGAAATAAAGGAGCACGCTTCATTGAATCGCACACTCGCGCGCGCCATCATTACTATCACAGGTGGCTTTCTGACCTTCGTTACGGTTGACAGCGCGGGGCGGCGGAGTAGCGAAGATAATGGCCATAGAGAGGAGTAAACGGTGGAAGAGCACCGGTTTTCTCGTGGGCGGGTAACGCGGCTAATTCCGACTGTTTGGTTAGCAAGCATTTAAGGTTTGTCTTGGCTGTTGCCTCGTGTCTTTTAGACAGCCGATCTGTGTTCCGACCAAATGAAACGGAAGCTAAACGCTCCTGACGAGGTGACGAGCTGACGAGGTGACTCGGTCGGTCGCGTCCGCATCCGCGGCCCGCGCGATTAACATGCCACGCACGACGGAAGATGCACGACGAGAGTGTGAAAACTCGTTAATGTTATCGATCCGCTCGTACCACTCCGCAGCACTTCCTCCGCAGCAGTTCATACTGCTTGGAAGAAACTGGCGGTCAAGGATATATTTTCCTTTTCTTTCCCTTTCATCCGCCCGATCTGTTTGCAACTTGGCCAACAAGCCATCCACACTATTTTCCGCGAACACTGTCACAGCGCGCGCGCGCGCGCGCGCGCTGTTAATATTAAAAGTCCCCGCCGACTCCAATAGCGGAATGTATTTTTTTTAACAGTCAGGATTTAAATAGTAAATAAATAGCGTACAATACATCTCGCACAATGAATTTATCCCGTCCTGAACGGCGCGAAAAACGTAGCGGCGCGTGGGCGTAAACAAGTAAAAGTTAACAAAACAATCCACACGTCAGCTCGCGCCACGCGTTAAAATGTCGAGAGCAGTCGGAGAGCAGTCGGAGAGAGCCTGCGACATGACTGTTCGCGTGTATTATCCAAGTGTAGCTAAACGCGCGTAAAAAACGGCCGTTTCGCAAATTAGGCGGGCAATATGATAGTGGTGGTATATTTTGGCATCCCGTCCGTCCGTATCAGCGGCTCTTAATATCACTGTTTGCCATCAACACACATCCGTGTTTTTATTGTCCATTTTCGTCCATTGACACGTTTTTTCATGCAAACACCGCTAAAGATTTTTTTTCATGGCGCTTCGCACTTGGTGAAATTTTGCTTTTAATTTACGCACATTATTTTGCAGATCAATGCAGCTGACGAAAATATTAACTGGTTTCGATAAATGCGACGCGCGAAACACGGGGGCACCCCAGATAAAAACGCCGACTTACGAAATTTCCATTAAATCCATATAGTCGGATGCATTAATTGACTGTCAAGATGACACGTTGTCATTAATAAATTACACTATTTTACAAGGTTTTGTAGCACTTGGAGTATTTGGAGCACTGTTTCTTGAGTGATTTCCAACGCTGAGCGAATCTTTCTGCCATCGAAATATTTTCATCAGGCCCTCTCTCTTCGAGAGAGATGTACGAAAAGTCACTTTTACGATATACTGCGAATTTTTATCATAAATATAGAAAACAAATTGTTGAGTATTAAATTGTTTTTCTTTTTCATATAACATCTTGGATCGCTTTCGCATATTGGCGCATACAGCAGCAGCCGGCTAGCATATTTTCCCGATATCATCCCAATATCACTATCGTGATTTGCAGGTATACCAAACATAAGGCAAATAAACTTTCTCGTCCATTTACGCCAAATGGCTCTGCAACTAACAACGCAAAAAACAAACGCAGTGCCCATTGTTTATCTTGGTTTACCGATCGCGAAACCAAAGTAATATAAATACACGAATTTCAGCGATCCTATGATTATGCAACTCCTTCTTCCAACAATATATTGCCTACAAATACAACAGTTTGGATCAGTTTTACACTCTTTTTTTTTATGCGATAATATTAAAAAAAAAAAAAAAACACATTCGCACGGTATTTTCCTAGACAAATGGTGATACAATACAATGACACTGTAAGGCAAACCGCTGTCAATTTGTTATATCTAAAAAATTCGACCTGATGGAATTTTCCTGGCGGCAGACGCAACGTCCCAAAATTAAAAAATTTCCGTTAAAAAAATTCCTGCACTAGGAAAAGTAATAGTATTTGTCAACTAGCGTTATTAACGTTGAATTATAAAGACATTTTTTCCGAGTTAAATGCCTACATATGTCAGATTCACGTTTTTAACATATTTACTACTTAAAATACTAATTGCATATTGTATTAAATGTTATATATTTTTGTCTTTTACGGTGAATGTATTGAAACAAAAATTTTGAAAAAAAACTCATATTATAAATTTAGTAAAATAAATAAATTATTTTTTGTTCTTTCATATTTTCATCCTGTCCGCTATACTAGATGATCGATTTTATCAATTTTAACAGCAATTTTTCTAACAGCGACCTCGAAAACCCCCACAAATATATTCGTTACAATCGACTTATTAGTTAATGCTTTTGGGCCCACTTGTGCAACTGCTGGGGTTAAACGGCTTTCTCTTATGATCCTCAAACTTTTGAGATTAGTTACTGGAGAAGCGCGAAAACGGTTGTCGTTTATTCATCGAAAAGTGGTCACGCCTAGCGGAAATCCACAAATGCGAATTACACTGTACGAATTTCGCTAAATCCGACTCGACTCACTCGAGATTATAATCTGATAATTACTGGCTGATTGACGACGGAATGCAAATTGCCACGCGGAGAGACGATAAGACTCGCTTGTTATCGGAAACTCTCTGCGGACGCACGGCTGCGGCACGACCAGGAGCAGGAAAGCCGAAGGGAGGAACGTGCTCTTGTGTCGACGGTGTTTGTTCAGCCGCAACTTCTCTAAATCTTTTGTGCGCCACGCGGAACACGCGGTGCGCGCGGTTACATACGTTTCCAAGTAGCTATCGCGTGCAACTACGAAAGTGCGCATAGCACTCGGGCGTCGGGAGACGTCGTCGAGACATTTTTCGCGATATGTCTCGCGAAAATGACGATATCGACCGCTAACGTGAAGCTGGGAATGAGAAAAAGCTTCATCCAGGAAGTCGCTACATTTGCCTCTATTCACATTTGACGAATACATTACGACGCAGTTCGATCGATCCTGAAAATGAATTCCTCGATCTACTATCACCAAAAGAACCGGCGCGAGAGAATCCGCCGGCGGCGACGCGATATCCGATGGGTCGTAATTCGACGCGGAAATAAGCGGCACAGAGAGAGAGAGAGAGAGAGAGAGAGAGAGAGAGAGAGAGAGACGAGTCACGTCGCGTTGGATAATGGCGTCGAGCTGAAAACGCGATGTGCGGAAACGATGCCTGTTGTTGTTTTATGGGGGACGCGGAGCGGCGGGAACGGTCGCCAACGTTAAACCGATTTGCACATCGGATGCACTCCCGATTCCTCGAACAGCGGACAATTTCACAGGCTGGATTCGCGCGCGCGCGTCCGTTCGCTCGGCCTTGCGTAGCGCGCAACAACACACTGTCTCCTCTCCAAGGAAACGATCGAATCGTTTGTATCGCGCAGGCAACCTGATCGGAAAGGCCCGTCGTTTTCCCCGTCGCGCTGACAAGTCGCAGCTTGCATCCGTCGCATCTCCGACGGCAAACGCCGGCCTTGACCGGTCAATCTCATCTCGTTTCGTTTTTCGCTTGTTGTACGCGCCAACGTCGCCGCGGTGGTCGCTGCTGCGACGTAGTCGAAAACATTTCAAATCGAACGATACGTATTTCGACCGCAATGGGAGGCAGAAAGGCGAAAAGTATTGCTCATCGACAACAAGGCGATAACAAGGCACGCGCGCGCGAGAGGCGCCGTAACGATTTTAATAAATTTGGCGCTGGGTAAGCTGCAACAACAGGGCGTATGAATTAAGGAGGGCCGCAACGGCGCTTGGATAAACATCTCGAATTAGGCGCCGAATTCTTTTCCATCCGTCTGACACGGCCAAGACTTTACGGCACGGCATGCCGCGGTTAATTTAGTCAGAAATTTTCGACCATTTCACACACACACACACACACACACACACACACACACACACACACACACACACACACACAGTGCCGGGAGAGGAATTGTCACACGCGCCTTGCGTTTCACTCGTATCGCGTTGCTTCTTTCACGTTACAACGCGAAAGAAGCACTCTTTGTGAATGCTTTACCGGCATTTGAAAAATTCCACAACATCGTTTTCCAAGAGACGCTTATTAAGCGTCGCGCGATCAACAGACACGCGCGCGTTAATAATCGACCGAACAAAAAATATTACCAAAGACATGTACATTTCGTGCGTGACCAAGAGGATTATCTCCGCATTAGATGGAGACGGACCACCGTGATCGAAGTTTGTGAAAATACGCGTCACGCGTGTCTTCTTACATTTCGAACCGTGAAAACGCTACCATTCGGCTCGAATACGAAGCTCGCGGAATCCGGTCATAATATAAAATCTCCGACAGGAATGTACTTTACGTCCGATCGAATGGAGTTCTCGCTGCGTCGTCGTATTATGTTTGAATTTAGTGGGACGAAGGAGAAGAAGGCGCGCGCGAAAACCGATCGTTTTGACATAAAGGAAAAGTCCCGATCGATACGCACCTGTTCCATATCGCGGGCTTACGCCGACATACAAAGGAAAAGAAGGGAAAGCTCCTTGGATGCGTGTCGCTGCAGTGACGTCGACAAAGGTTTGCGTCAATAAGAGAGATGCGGCGGATTGTCGTGTCTTCGAATTGGCTATTCTGCTCTATTAAAGTGGATCACAGTAAAAAATTTCCCGACTGAATCAGTGTAAAAGCAGTGCGATAATCGGTCAATATATTCACTGATTTCCAATGAAAACTCGATTACTTTACTGCTCGTAATTATCATATATCTCGCTGATTCGTGGAAGTAAAAAGTCTGTACTGTGAAAGTCTGTAGTACACAAATTCGTTGTACGAAATTCAACTTTTTGCACTCGTGACGATAAAATTAACGGCTCTCGATGCAATTTACGTGCAACGGCACTGTCTGCGCTACTTATTAATTGATTTTATTGATCGCAATGCTGCACTTATAACTGAATCATTAGTTACAGCATTGCAATGAGAAATATACTGATTGTACTTTACAGAGCGCTCCATCAGAAAGAGCGTGCAGCGATGCGCGAGAAAAGCAGGGGAAATTTGGTGCCGTCAGACTATCAGTACAAATTAGGCTGCGTCGAATGGGAACAATTGTCGGTATGCTAAACGTGTTGTAGTCGTTGGTTACGCTTCCGCGTAGATCCGCGAAAGCACCACGGCGTCCATGTTCGTTTTTCACCTGACGGAGCGGTCTCTTTTTCAGGGCCCACGTCAGCGGCAGGTGTAGCGAGCGCCCTCGCGTACCCCGGCTATATTATTTCTGTCAACTATCCGCGTGTTTATCCGCATACATATTTGACGAACTCGTTCCTTCTCGGAGCCCGGAGCAAGGATACGCCCGAAGAACCGATCTCATCCGAGTGAGATGACATTTAGGCTGTGCACTGCCTACGTATACCTAAACGTGTTCATTGCGCGCTACCTGTCTACATTTTTTCCACTCACCTACCTTTACATCAGTCCCAACGCGGTGTCAACTTTTGTCTCCATAAGTCAGGTCAGGCCCATTATTAACCTATTAAGAGTTTTTCAGTGCCGTGTGTCCGATGTCACGCTGAGAACGCGTCTTGACCGCACGGTTGTGTATATATACATATACGGAGTGTTAAAGAAAAGCATTCATATAGTGGATAATGCATACTATACCGAGTAAAAAAGGTCCTACTAAACACAGATTGAGAACTCAGTTGTTTCTGGGATATAAACAATTTTGCATATTGGTATTATGATTAACACTTATTCTACATATCTCCTACATATCACATGCGGCGTGAAAAGAGAGGATAACCCTTCTAAATCTTTCATGTTCTCTCTCTCTCTCTCTCTCTCTCTCCCTCTCTCGCTCGCTCCATATGTCCTCGTTTCATTTCTACTTCAACAATTCCACAAAAAAACATACATGCTATTCAAATTGTAAGTTAATGCAGTACAAAAATAAGAATACATCTATTAAATCATTATAACATGTGTGTGGAAATTTCAAATTTTTATGTCTTCACCAATTCCACTTTAGCCAGATCATAGTAAATGTAAAGCTCATATTCTAAAGACTTACGTCGACAAAAAGTCATAGAGACTAATTGAAAGTATCTAAAGATTTGGCTAATCTCAGACTATCGGAAAGACCAAACTCTAGTGGCGATATTTACGAAAGAACGTTTATATTGTTCTGTATGCGACTCTGAGGCACGACAAAACGTACGATGCATCTTTCCTGTTCCTAACAGAGACTGCACCACGAAAGAGAATTTCCTGAAGAAGAATTTTAGTTAAGGTAGCCCACAAAATATTTACGTAAATATATCATATTTTCTGGAAGCTATTGCTGATATTTATAATAAGGAGTGATGTGTTCATCCTTTCTAATGCTGAATATATACTTGACATAAGCATTTATCGCTCAAGTTCGGCTCATTGATCTTATCAGAGCACAGCAACAAGATGTGGATAGCACAATACAGATGTGGATAGAACAAAGCAAGTTTTTTCCTGAGAGAGTCAGTGAGCAATTGTCCACAAAGTTTTAGTCGGTATAACGTAGTATTAATCTTTTCTTGCACGTATAAAACCTTTTCTTACATGTTAATAACCTGCTTTTCTCATGAAAATATGTTTGATTGACACTACTGGAATATTGAATTGTCGAATGTCTCATTTGAATCTTTGGTAAGATGTCGATGTTGAACAAGTCGATGTATCTAGCCGTTCCAAAAATAATTGTCTAGATCTTGAGATCTCTGTTGAGATTGATGTGATTTCTGATGACTCAGTTTGTGATATTAGCAATGTCAGTATTTATCAACGGTGTTTATAACATTTTCTAATTT